ATAGCCATCCATTGCAGCACTCCAATCGTGGGAGTTGCCCCACCATGTTTCTGTGATGGCAACTAAGTCGTATCTATCCCGCTGCACAATGGCTTCCAGCTCCTCCTGTTTGCCGCCCATGCTGCGTGCATTGGTGTAGATGCACTTCAGCTGGGCTATCGATTTCGCCCCTAGCATCAGCATGCCACCCCTAACACATGTGAGAAGTACAGTAGGAAATGCCAGGGAGGGTGTTGCATTCTTCTGAGATGCCTCTTAAAGCCTGCCACAAGGGTGAGGGGTGAGGATGATCAGAGAACATGATTTCAAGGGCAGGGCTAGCTGAGCAGTGTAGAAATTGCCTGCTAGTCTGCAGTGCACTGCACCCCAAGAGCAACTAGACCCCTCACCCCCAAAATAAAGAAAAGCCCCTCTCTGGTGACTAGGAGAAGCAGAGACAGACAGGAGTATGAGCTGGTTAAAATCACAGAGTAACATCAACTTCGGGAGGTAATGTAATCTTTTCTTTGCCCAAGAGAAACAGAGGGAAAACTCAGTGATAACAATTATCTGATTCAGAGATATCCTGGCTGTAAATAAACTTTCAATTATATATGCCAAGAAAATAAGAGAATGACTTCTTTCTTCTTCAGGAAATGGCATTTTTCACAAAGGAAATATCAAAGTATCATTAAGTGTATTTCCTAGGAAAGATAATTAGAGACATCCTAAATAATCTCTCTCCTATTAACAGTGCCTATGTAATGTTATTATTATGCTGAGATGCTGAAAGGGATCTCTCAGACATGACCAAGGCAATTCAAGAGGACTTCCAAAATAATTTCTTCCACAAATTGGTTTGGGCAGAAGATTACATTTGCCCCTTGATTTGCCACTCCAAAAGGTATTAATTTTGGAGAGTTGCATTAATACAGGGAACAAAAACATAATGTGCATTGGTGTTTTGCAGCTTTGTTGTATATTGCACAAAGCGTTGTGCTTGGGCCTTCTGGAAGAAGTCTAATGGTGACAATACGGAGCTCTGCGCAGTCTAATTTACCTTATTGAGAATTCTGAAAACACCGTATACTGCATACCCACTGATACCATTGCTACAGTCCACATTTGAACATACCAGTGCTTGCTTTCCCCCTCCCAATACACTATCATCTCCTTTCTTTGGACACAGCTGGCTTTATCTGGAGAGTGCTCAGTGTTACCAAGTTATTTTGGCCTAGAGTAAGGAGAATGCTCCATGTTCTTTGAATTGAATTTTGAAATCCCATTAACAGAAGATCTTTGGTGACTAGAGCAATGAAACCTGAAATTGGCTGCAAAGCAGTAAGAAGTGTCCCAAAACACATGGAGCCTGAGCTATCACCATTGCATCTGCCCACATGAGCCTAGCAGAGGAACACAAGTGGCTGATACGTCGGCACAGTCTGCAGTGCTTGTTTCAAAATGGGAACAAAGCCCAGCAGGTGATAGCGCAGCATGTTCTGGGCTTTATTTTTAGCTATAAATACAAGAAAATCATGGCAAACAGGAACCCAGCACAGAGCTAGATAAACATCGCAATGCGGAGCTGCGTGACAGCTGTCATAATACACGGCTCGGAGAGTGCAGCTGCTGTTAGACAGCGATAACGCAGAACTGCAACTGTGTGCTCTCTAGGTAAACTTGCACATGGCAAAACAGTTCTTGAAATAGCTAGTGATCCCACATCTGCAAGAAGGCCTTGCATAGTTCATATTCCAAAATGCAATTATTTTGAAGTTGACTCTGTCATGTAGCTTTTAATGTAGCTTTGGAGGCAAAGAGTAAACATACGGAGTCACAATCCTGCAGGAACGCTCAACAGTAGGTCATTCTCCAGGCTGCACTGGGGCTTGCATCTGAACTACAGGTGCTTCAGCAACCCTTCTCCTGTAGCTTGCCGCTTCTTGCAGCTTGCATCTTCATCCTCCGTTTGCCTCTTTGCCCTATGAAAGATCTAGTTTGTGTCCTGTGATGCCCATGGAATTGGTGAAGGACGAAGAAGGGCCTGCTGGAATTCCTCACATGCTTGTAGCAGTGATAACCCCTGGCACTGCTTGGTGTGTTGGAGGGCCCTGAGCTACCTGATCTAGCATTTAAGTCTGGCCTATGGTAGACCACACCACGTGGTGACTCTCGAGATTGTCACAATGGTAAAACGCCATTAGAATGTAAAATTACAATGAAGGTAACTTTAGAAGAAAGGGATTTTCCCATTCTGATTGGAACACTGTGATTTCAAAATGATACCTCATCTCATATCAAGATAAAAAAGCTTTTAAAAAATCAGACAGGTTTTCCTATTGTGATCAATCAATCAATTCAAATTTATCAAAACTTTCTGTTTCATTACATAATTGAGGGCAGTGGAAGACTATATCATTAGTGTGATGAATGCCTTGAGATACAATCAATCTTGTGATAATTAAGTCAAGTCTCCAGGTGACTTAAGTCAAGTCTCGGCATGCTCACCAAGACTTTAAGTCTGGTTGAGTTAAGCCTGAATGCAATGTTACTGACAAGTGAGAACAGAAGGAGATAAAACCTTTCAGGAGAGATCCATGAAAAATGTTCACAAGTGACTGCGTAAACCGTTCTCTAAATACATAGAGATATCTCATCATGAAAGGGCAATATTTATCTATATTAAACCACAAACAATACATAAAATAGACCCATTGTTGCTTTCAATAGCTTCTTTAATGGCAGCAATACAAAATGGAATACAAAAAACGGCAGAGGCCGTGGTAAAGCAAGAGCATTGTAAAACAAATTACAAAGTAAGTGATGCTGGTTATATGGTCACATTTTGTTTATGCATCTAGCAACAGAAGCAACATGCAATGCTTTACATTACATAGTACAGGACATCGGAATGCCAGCTGCAGGTGCAACAGGTTACACACCCCTGGCATGTCTCTTATCTTTGAGTTTCTTTCATTTGACCAAATACAATAGTTCTTGCATTCGTGGGAATTATGGGGAGGGAGAACAGCGCAAGGCAGGATCAAGAAATACAGCTCTGCAGTGCAGCATGAAAGAGAGCTCTCCCATTCACTGTTTCTGTGACACGGGGGAAGAAAGCAATACAAGCACAGACAGAGATCTAGGTCTCAGATTTCTTGCTGGGGCTGCATCTTCTCTCAGCGTTGCAGGATTTGCAGTCTAACAGCCACAGCTCTTGCCGGGGAGAAGGGGACGCAGAAACGAAAGCTTGTCATTGAAATTGATTGCATTGTAATTTGGAAGGTGTTCATGTTCTCGTGCAATGTAACGAAAACCACTTCCATCGCTGTGTTCACACAACAGCCAGGCACCTCTCTGAACTTTGTGAGAAGATATGATGTCATTGTCATGTCCCCTAGCCAGATTGGTTGCTGCATGTACCACCTTGCTCCTCCCTTGATATTGGGCATGTTCATAGAGAGTGATCTGGGGATTGTGCAGATTTTCAGTGATCACCTGCAGAGAAGTGATCTTGTCATTCATCTGCTCACCAACAAAGCCATGGTCTCCCTCCTCAAATACCAGTAACTGGCCTGTATAGTTGAGGTGCTCATAAGCCACCCAAGGCTGGCCAATTACTTTCACTGAGGAGACACAATCATTCCAATCTACATCTTTTAGATTGGCAATGTCACTGGTGAATTCCCTGCAGTAACCCTGGAAGTTGGCATGCTCATAAATGATGATTTTTCCCATCTCAGTAGGACTTCTGTAGTTCAGATTTCTTGCTGTAGGAGCTGGATGACAGCCTGCAGAAAAGGAAAACAGAAAATAAGCAATGCTTGTAAGAAGCCTTTTCGCACCAGACACAAGATGCTGGAGAGGGTGAAAAAAAAGGAAAAAAGGAAAAGCAAAACATTTTTAGCAGAGGATAAACATAGCAGCAGCTAGAAAAGAGTGAAGGCATGACATAGAAATTTTAATTTGGAAGAAAAAAGTAAAATGAGATATGTACACCAAAACTGTCCAGTTTTATTTAGTTGTGTATGTTGGTTTATATATATGTGCGAGGGACATTTGCGCATTTAGTTTAACATCTTATTGGTATATCCTAAATAATAATGAGATAAAATATATAACTGATGATACATCTTTCAGTTGATAATTGACACTGCATTTGAGAATTATTTTAGAAATTGGCATTCGTTGTTTGGACTAGATTTCATGATCCACATAATATTACAAGTAAAGAAGTAGTGAGACATTCAATTAATTTCTAAATGAAAGTGCATTTTGTACCGTAGATAGGAAAAATATCTATTCTGTTAAGGCCAGAACTGTACCTTTACACTCACTGAAATACCTTATTTCTCTTTTTATATGAAATTCTATTGAAATCAAGAGATTCCTGTTCTTGACATAAGCTGAGAAGCAATCAAGTTCAAAGCATTAGCTCTTTGAGTCAGACTAAATTTCAAGTTGTAAATGTCTTTTTGTAGCACTGTTACAAATACTCATATCTAATTCCACACAAAGTCGTCTAGAATCAGATAAAGAACCATATTTATTAGTAACAGCTGCAGGAATGGAAATGAGTGGCCAATTAAGATAACAGCTCCCTTTCTAAATCACATAGCAGTCATCGAAGCAAAGTTTTAGATTTCAGGGGAAATATATATGAGGGAAAGAAGCAGTTACTCTAGTTGATTCTGGGAAGGGATGGGAGAAGATCTGACCAAGTAAGATTAAAAGTCAGACTAAAATTGCAAGACCTGAGCAACATAATCAACATTTAAAAAAAAAATCTCACTTAAATCTCACTTTAAAAAAAAAAAAATCTCACTATGTGATTAAAAACATTTAAGCATTTTTTCACAGTTATAATTGAATTTATGGAGGCTGTGGTTAATCAAACTTTAATTTATTGATTGATTGAGTACAATGACCTTCTGCCTGTAGAAAAAGTAACAATAATAACAAGCCAGTTAATTTTGCTGACACAACATAAAGATCCTATGCCCGAGATTAATTTGTAAAATATTCTCACTTTCACCCCTTCGAATTTTGTAGCAATGGCTGTCTTCACCCTCTGCAAGGTATGTTCATCCTGCAGCTGTCTTCTCATCACCTAAAAGACGTGTTAAGTTTCTGCAAATACAGACATCAGATCCTCACATATATGTTGCAGCTCTCATCCCAACACTTAAACCTCTTCTCTTCAACTGCATTTCATGGTAGCTGCCCAAGAAGACATTGAAAGTTTTCATGTAAAAAGTGTGCATCTCACCTTGATGTCAGCTTCTCAGATGGGGACAGCTGATGGCACTTCCTCCAGTCCCGTGCTGCTGTCTGCAAAAGGCGGCTCACTTGCCTACATTTATAGCTCGCACAGAAGTCTTGCGAAACACCCCATTCAACAGATATCACCCAATCACCAACTGGGTGGCCAGTATCACCCTCAGGGATCAAAAATCATCAACTATTTTATTTCGGTTTTGATCTTCCTACAGCCAGCCATCTCATTGCTCTGGTTCAAAAGTCTCTTGATAAACCTTAGAGCTTTGATTCTTGTTTGTCTTTATTCACCAGAAGTCAGCTGAATCACAGTAATAAAAACACACCCAAGTATTTTGTGACATGCTGTAGAATTTTTTTGCTTGCTGCAGTTTACATTTTTGCTTACCTGGGAGACAAATCTAATACACAACATTAGTTTTCCAAAGGGTTTCTATGCGAGATATCCAGGTGACAGAGGTGGCATTTAAGTAGCTTTTTTTTCACTTTCCCCCTTCTCACCTGCATAGCCATTTGAGCAGCCACAGGGATGCAGAGCTGGTAAAGCAGGGCAAGGAGGCTCTGGCAGAGCTGCAGTAACAATATTTTTGCTTATTTTCATGTTGCAGGTTTACTCTGTAATATACTTTCAGACTCGTTAATTGGCTAGCGTGCTGGCAAGCTGTACCACAGTGGGAGGAAACAATGGGATCTTCGTCAGTTCAAGAGCAATCTAGATCCTGCAAATACCCACAGCAGTAAAAGGAAGAGACTTCCTTTAAAGGCTTATTTTGCCTTCACCATCTCCAAATTTTGAAATCAAGCAACAGTCTGATGAATGATAACAACTGTGTAAAAAAACGAACAAGCTGCACGGCCAGTGAAAGCAAATGAGCGACTGTTTAGCTTCACAGAAAGGTATAGGTGGGAAGGGACCTCTGGAGGTCTTGAGTCCAACCCCCCCTCCTCATAGCCGGGCTGAATCTAAACCTACCTGGGGCAGCTCAGCGCCTTGCCCAGGTGACTCCTGAACATCTCCAAGGCTGGAAATTGCCCAGCCGCTCCGGGTGCTGAACCACCCTCGGAGGAAAGTGCTCCCTCCCTTACCACCAGACGTGAGAAAGCTCGCAACAAGGACTCAGAGGAGATTTAGTGGTTATTGGAGCAAGCAAATCAAATACCCACAAGCTCAGTAGTGGTAGATCTCAAATATACCTTTGATATGGGCAGACTGGCCGGGCACTGTGCGCAATCCTCTGAGAGGAACCAAGGAGGCAGGGGCTATGAGCCAGTTTTTCATACACCAGAACTCCCAAGAAAGAAAATATGTGGTTGTGCTTACAGATACAGAGCAGATGCTTGCTCTAGGCTGTCATTAAACATAATGACCTCAAGGGGCAACATTTGACCAGCAGGGCTCCTTTCAAGGTCGCTGTTATAACGTGCCCCACTGTAGGATGCTTCAGGGACCCCTGCTCTGTCAGGTAGGATATTACTGGAGAAGATGGGGAGCTAGGCAGGGAGAGAGTTCACCCCTGCCAAAACAGGCAGCCTGTACACTAGCTCCAGCCAAATCCTCCTGCTGCATCTCTTTCACTGGTGCTTGGCTGAGCTCATGGCGTGCCAGATCACAGAACTAAGCTAGCACAAAAATACATGGGTTTTTTTCCCACATGGTTCATTCTTTTGCTGCTCTGCAGAGGCTGGAAGCAGAGCAATTGAAATTTGCATTCTCGGGTTTGGAGGAGAGAAGCAGGACCTCACTTTCTAGCAGCGGCTAGATGTGAAATCAGCTTTGCTGTACGGCTAAATCGCACCTTTACGGCATGGTTCCGTGTGTTGCAGTGAGCTCACCCTACAGCTCAGTGCTGCTGGAAAGGAGAAGGCCCTGTTCCACTCCTGAACCATAGTGTCCACCATCTGGTAGGAGAAGGGAGGAGCACACCAATGGGAGGAATGTTTGGAAGAGGGACTAACACAGCCTAGAATAGGATGGATTTATGCTGCCATTGAACAACATTCATTCTTCTTAGCTTGCCAGTATATTTTACTCATGAAATTATTTAGTTGTGTTTCTGAAAAAAAAAAATTTTTTTTACATATATATAATGACATAATTCATCACAAACGAAACATTCCCATCTTTCTCAGCACCTGCAGACTCAGAAAAGCTGTTTGGACAAGTGTATGAGCCATGAAGGCAACACAAAGAGTCTGAGTGTATCTCAACTGCGTCACAGAATGATGCAGGCAACCGTGAACTCCTAAGTCCCCCACATCCTCTCTGCAGAGCACCAAAGCCGGCAGTGGGACTTTTCATGGCACCGAGGAAAATGGAAAGGTGATATACGATGGGATGTGTTGACACGAAAGCTTGGAAAAGGATCTCTGTATAAACACTCCCAAGCTCAGAGAAAGAAATGGCTCCTGGTTCTAATGACCATCTTTCCTAGTGTTATTGGGATTGAAAACTAAATGGATTTCAGTGTCGCTTATCTCATTTATATGGTGCTTTATGCACAAGGAAGTACACCACTGAAGAAAGCAGAATACCACAGGGTAGGGCTAGGACTTTGAGACTGGAAGTATTTATGGCTTGGGTGGGTTTTTTTTTTTCTTAGGGGAAATTATGTTTCCCAAACTTCCCACCCACCCCCCTCCTGCAGAAATAGCAGTATCTCAAAATCTGGAAAAGAAAGCGTGCGACAAAAGTTAAAAGACAAAGAAGAAAACTCAAAGAAGATAAACCCCTCTTCCTCTATTGCCCTCAGCAGACAAAAAGCAAAAGAACGGGCAAGACAAATGATGAACATGCAGAGTCTTTGAAAATGTGCAGAAATACATTATGCAAAAAACACTTGAACAAATTAAGACATTCTGATTTGGAGCAAAAATTACTAAAATATTTTTATCTTTTTCATAAAACTGGTTTTCTTTTTTTTTTTTTTGACAAGGTTTAATAGCAAGCTTATTTTTTTGTTCTCCCATAGAATCATTTCCAAATACATCAAGACTCATGTATTTATTTACTTTTATTTCCTCTGTGGTTGGCTTCATCATCATTGCACTGCCAGGGTCTATTTTCCACTAGATTGCAGAGTGATAAAACAATTTCACTTAAAGCTGCGGATGTCACATATGCACCCACTTCACAGTGCTGGAAAAGGTAAAATGGTAGAAAAATCAAATTAACAACAAACTCCTTCCCCCTCCAGATCTTCTTGTGTTCCCACCCTTCTCCACCACAGTGGATACCTTAGTTTGTATCTCAATTATTACTCATCTCTTTTTACTTTAAAATAAGGGGGTTAAAAAAAAATAAAATCACACATGAACTGCATCTCCCCAGTTTCTGATTGCTATTTTGCCTGGTAGTTGTGGACTCAAGGCAGCAGGACACTGGTTTCTTTGTTTTGGAGGGGGTTTTGTGGTTGGAGGCGGGTTTTTTGTGGTTTTTACTCTCTTAGCAGTTGTTAGGGCTGGTCAAGTAATTCATCACAAAGCCGAAGTCTCTTTCTCACTTTTGGCTCTGACTTCTGTTTCTCAAACAAAACAAGCCCCCAAAAATGCAACATAGGAACACGCAACTCGACCACAGAACCCCAAGCTGTGAACAGCCCACCCACCAATAAATGCATTCACTGCCAAACCCTTGAGGGGAAAAAAGATGCCTCCTATTTTGCCTAGCATGTATCTCACACACTCCCCTTTTTTCCTTTTCTCTCTTTGTTTGCCACTGTTTTCGCTGCACTCCCCAATTGCCAGGGGTCAGTAAAATGGACTGAACACCACTACTTTTTCAGCAAAGACTACAACAGGGATATGAGTGCTGCATATCCACTCACAGCACTGGGAGTCAGTTCCACAAAAGATGTGCTGGAAAGAGAGGCACAGCAAATACAGACTGACAAAAGCCTTATAAGTCCCGCTTGACAAGACACAGAAGCCAGAAAGGAAAGGGAAGAGCTTTTCTAACTATTATTTCCTTCCCAAAGCCTCCCCTTCCCAGATAAAGGAAAAGGCAACAGACTGTCTATGAAGCCTGTCTTCTGAGCCTCAGGGACTGACTCAGAGGAGGAGAAAGAGGCATGATGTTTGTGGTCAGGGCCCCGAGGCAGGCTAGGGCATGAAGGAAATACTGGCAATAACACAGGAAAAGTAGAAAAGATACAGAAGCGTGGGGTACAGAGGTAGGGAAAGGGCTCCCCCCTGGGGAGACGTGGATTGTTTTAGCTCAAAAAGTCAGAAACCCAACTGGGTTGCTTTCTGCCCCCATGTTTAATAAATGTGCAAATGGGTTTCCATGGCATGGTTGCTAAGCTGGACTCTGCAAACACAAAGGCCCAGACTAATTAGATGCTTGGCACCAGGGGGAAGAAGAAAAAAAAAAAAGGCATCACGGAGCTCTAAAAGGTCTTAGCTTCACAGCACCACATTTGGCTGGGAAAGCCTCTCCAACTCACGAAAGTCACACGTTCAGAAAATGCATCCAGCATTTTGTTCCTCTCATTTTATTAGCAGGTTGTGCTCCTAAACCCTTTAGTGGCCTGGTCCAAGCACGAGTGACAGACATTGACCTGCCCTCGACTCAACACTAGGTGTCACTTCTGCTTAAGAAATGCAACAGAGAAATTGAAAAGTTTCAAAAAAACCCTACCCATCTGGCACCAGATTTTCAGGGGATCTCTGTACCTACAACTCTTCCTAAAGTCATGGGCAGCTACGGAGTTTTAAGGTTTCACATGTCTCAAATCAGGCACCCAAAAGCATCAGAAAATACCAGACAATGCTTTGCCATACTAAGCATAACAGTGACCGGCGAAAGGTTTCTCTTCTGATCTTTTGCGGGAGCAAGGAAACGCATGCCTACGTGAACAAGGGACTACCATATGGAGAAGCTGCCAGAGTCCGCTCTGGCAAAGTGGTCTGTCTTGCTGGCCTGTTCCTGTTGCTGCTTTGCCGCTGCAGGTGGGAGAGCTGCTGTGCTGCTTTCAGTCCTTCCTCAGTAGCAGACTTGCCTGCCAAAAGATTTCTGAGCCTCAGGGACTGACTCAGAGGAGGAGAAAGAGGCATGATGTTTGTGGTCAGGGCCCCGAGGCAGGCTAGGGCATGAAGGAAATACTGGCAATAACACAGGAAAAGTAGAAAAGATACAGAAGCGTGGGGTACAGAGGTAGGAAAAGATTTGTGAGCCTCAGGGACTGACTCAGAGGAGGAGAAAGAGGCATGATGTTTGTGGTCAGGGCCCAGGCAGGCTAGGGCATGAAGGAAATACTGGCAATAACACAGGAAAAGTAGAAAAGATACAGAAGCGTGGGGTACAGAGGTAGGGAAAGGGCTCCCCCCTGGGGAGACGTGGACTGTACTAGAACCATATTATTTGCTATGTCTTACAGTACCAGAAGTAGGAGACCACAAAGGAAGAGGTAGCAGGCTTAAAGCAAAAGAAAATACTTTGCATATCTAAACACAGTTCTTCTGTGCATCCACAAGACGTTGTAGAGACCAAAA